CTGCTGTTGCGTTGCTGCAGCAACACTAGTTTCTACCTCATCTTGACTTTGTACAGGGTTCATGTGACCATCCTGCCTTTCTTCCTTTTGGATTGAAGATGGCTCTCCATCCAGCTCGTTTTTCCCTTGTGGCTGCTCTAGTGCTTTCCCACTTCTCAATCAAATTGCATTACAGTGATCCTTGCCATCCCGCCTAGGATTTTCTGTATTGCTTGGTAGAGTTCCCTGTGGATGATTAGTCAAAGCATTTGCAAGTTGCCCAATTTGAGTTTCCAAGCTTCTCAAGGTTGAATCATAGCTCTGCATCTTAGCCTCGTTCTTCGTTATATATTCCTTAAAGAAATTCTCCATGGAATTTAAACTTTCACCGGCTTAAATCCGCATTGGCTGAGCTGGTTGTGCTAAACCCGGCTACTGAGCTGGTCTATTATACTGAGGAGCACCACTAGGACCTGCTCCTTGATTACTCCAAGAGAAATTGGGATGTTGTTTCCATCCTTGGTTGTGTTGATGGTTGTAAGCATTGTTGCGGTTGTAGTTACTCACATAACAAGCTGAAGCGGGATTCAACGGACATTCCTCAAATAGGTGTCCCTCCCCACAATATACACAGGAGATTGCAAGGGCCTGGACAGAATTCACTCCAGTTGAAGTGTTCATAGTTTTTATCATGTTAGTCAGATTTGACACTTAAGCCGAAAGAGCAGTGATTGCATCCACTTCAAGAACTCCCGGTGTTTTCCTTGTGGGTAGTCTCTCAGTTGGCCATTGATAATGATTCGTGGCCATCCTCTCCAGAATCTCATTGGCCTCATTGTAAGATTTGGCCAAAAGAGCACCATTAGCTGCGGCATCAACCATTACTCTGGTTGGCTCATTGAGACCATTATAAAAAGTCTCCATTTGAATCCAATGGGGAATACCATGTAACAGACACTTTCTGAGCAGTTCCTTAAACCTTTCCCATGCCGCATAAACTGACTCTCCATCACCTTGATGAAAAGAGGTAATGTCATTTCTCAACTTGGCATTCTTTGTCGGAGGGAAATACTTCATAAGAAACTTTTCAGCCACATCACTCCATGTTGCAATGGAATCAGCAGGTAAGCTATTAAACCAAGCTCTAGCACGATCCCTCAAAGAGAAAGGAAAAGTGTTAACCTTAACGTTTCTGGAGGAACTCCCGGTAGCTTGAATATATCGCTAACTTCCATGAATAACCTCAAATGTTGATGAGGATCGTCTGTCGCCATACTGCTGAATTATCCCACGGTCTATAGCATTTGAAACATGACCGGTTTAAGTTCAAAGTGTGGGGCCTGGATGTTTGGCCGAACAATCACAGGATTTAGTCCATCAAGAACTGGGACTGCAAAATCTCTGATTGCCCGATCACGGTCATCAACCACAAACGGTCTTGGGGCTGGTTCAAGAGCATTAAGCTGCTGCCCCTGATTCAGTAAGATCCCCTGAGCGTCTTCCTCGGCCATTTCTTGTACGTGAGCAAATCCTCGCTGCTCCCTTCTTCTCCTTCTCAAAGTCCTTTCAATTTCTGGGTCAAGAAGGAATAACTCAGGTTCTTGCATACAAGATGTTCCCAAAGGCCTGCCAAAAAT